GTGTTCTCAGGTCCACCCTGACCCGGGGTGGTAGCACTTGTTAGGGTCCAAGCTATGGGCAAATAGTTAACACCCAAACTTGTATAAAAATAGGTTTTAATATCAGAAATAATTTTTTAAGGAAAAATTATGATCAGCAATACTTAAAAAAAATAATACCAGCAATACAAACAGTCATAAATTCTTTGAAAAAAAATATGACCAGCTATAGATTTCTTCATGGAAAAATATTCCCAGAAACAGACTTTTGAAGAAAAATATATTGCCAGCAATAAAAATTTTGTCGGCATTAAATAACCTATTGAGGTTGATATGACGTAAAACAAAAACCAAACCAAACCAAATCTACTATAAAAAGTCGCATAATCACCTTTGGAATGAATCTCGTCACTTTCGATGAAAACATTTTTCACGTACAATCATCCCACTCGGTTCATGAACACAAAAATACACGCTGCTATCAAAAGCGTCTCAAAAGCAATTAAAAGCAACAGTAATAGAGATCAAAATATACAGAGAAAAAGTAGAATCCCTTTAATTGAATACTATCTAGCAATTAGAAGCATTTATCGTTTCCCAAATAGATCATAAACAGACTCAGGTTTTATGTATTCAAACTCGCTAACCAGCGTGACGTCAAATTACGCGGAAGTGGTTGGGGTGATGACCTGACCCAGGAGACCCTGATTCTTTCTTTATTTGCCTTTTCTGTGATCATAATACTAATATCTTAGAATAAGATTAATTTAGTTGTCCTATACAAGAATTGGATACTCAGTGAACAGTGTTTTTCTTAATTCATAGAAGACACTGTGCTAATAGCAAACTCAGAAATTAAACTGAAAGAACACTTAAAACAAAAGGTAATACCGAAAAGAAAGAAGAACATCAGAAGGAAATATATGAGCTATGTATTGGGACTTCAAAATCAAGAAAGTACAGAAATTTAATTATCAACCAACGCTAAATGTGACACAGAAATTTAAAGTCGCTTTCCAGAAACTTAGCAAAATATTAAAACATATCGAAAAATATCGTTAGAAACATGTAAAAAAAAGTTATATGCTATGTAATATTTAATTTCTTATATGAAATGAATGTTGGATAATTTCCCCACAGATGAACAAGAGAAATGACATGACAACGTTGTGGTTCTACGTACCTGAAGAATGCTATGAATATCATGAACAGAACATGTGCGCAATGAAGAAGTCTTTAATAAATAGAAACTATAAGAAAACTTATGTTTACAATCAGAGAGAGTTGAAATTTCTGCGACACATAATGAGGAAAGAGGATCTGGTGAATCTAATACTCACAGTACATAGTGAAGGCAAGAAAAGTAGGGCAATGCAGCGAGTAACATATTAACGAGGTTGTGAAAATGGATGGCAATACAAGGGCAAAAAGTGGCATGTGTCAGTAAAAATGATCCCAGTATTTAAAACATTTCTAATCAAAAAGGTCCTGAAAAATGAGTAAAAGACTAACTTTCAACATTTAAAAAAAAATAAATAAAAAGAATCAGAATCGAATAATAGAAAATAGATGTAAGTTAGATTAGGTGAATATAAGATACAGAAAATAATCTTTGTATTGATTAGATATCAATTCGCTTACTTAATTACTCTGACGCAACGATATTATATACAGGGGATAACATTGTAATATGTTAAGCAACAATGGATTCCGTAACAGGTAGATTTTGTACGGTATAGAATTTCCTCAGCTGGTTTTGAATTGAGTGTTATTCTCCTAGACTGGTTGTCAAACAAATCTAGGGAGCACATTAACTTCCCTGGTATTAACTCCTAGATAGGAGGAGGAGAAAAAAGATATGGTCTGAACTTATGTGAAATGAAGAGTTCCGCCGGAGGACCACCCACCCAGCATTTCCCACACTATCGCTCAGTGCCGTATTCACTGGTTCGGCCAAGTCCTGGAAAGATCTGATAACTACCTCACTAAAGTAATTTACCAATTCGATCCGCCATATGCAGACTGGAGACGACCTTGCGGCAGACCACGCAGCCGTTGGAAGGACGTCGTCCACCAGGATCTCCAGTAGATAAATCTGGAGGATGTTCCAATGTTTTGCCAAGACTGTGAGAGCTGAAGGAATAAGGTGGACCTGGTGGGCTCAACGCCTTCATGGATTGAGATTTTGTAAGTAACAGTAGAAAGGTATTTCGGGGGGTATTTGGGTGAAAGCTAAAGCAAAAGCCACAATTAGAATTTAAACACGACACGCTAATTCCACTTTCCAGGCTGATAACCGCTATGCACACATCCTTTTATCCTCTCCAAACGTTACAACAAATGCTTCGCTGATTTCCAACCTATTGGATGCCCTCCTTTGTAGTTCCTGTTTTTAAGAACTCTGGGGAACCATCTGACTGTTATCGTCATGTTAGTCTCACCCTCTTTTCTTTTTCAGACAAGCAATTTGGCTTCCGTTTCGCCAGGTGTACTGCCGACGTGTTAACAGACATCACTGAAATTGTCTATCAAGCTTTAGATAAGAATATCAAAACTCGTGCTTTGGCTCTAAATAACTCGAAGGCGTTCGACAGGTTTTGGCATGATGGCCTTCGCCACAAGCTCAAGGGCTACGGTGTCACTTAATCCAATTGTTCCTAACAAATCTAGTAATAAAGGTCGTGTTTAACGAACACGCTTCCAGATATTTTCATACTAACGCAGGGGCCTCAGGGCTTTATCCTTGGACCTACACTGTTTCAGGTCCTTATCAATGATCTCCTCAAGGTCATCAGTTCCAATTAAATATTTATGCAGATGACACAACTATTTACTCCTGCCTTAATAGCAAATCTAACAGACCCGACAAAGTAAACCTGGCAACTGTTCTTGAAGAGGGCTTCCAATCAGTGATTAACTAGAACAGAAAATGGCTTACAAGTTTTAACGATTTCAAAGCAAAACTGCTTTCATTTAATCACCACAGAGAAACTTTTCTGTCTGCCATCAACATGGCTGATGCTAAACTACAGGAAAGTAACACTCTATGCCTTCTTGGCCTCACGTTTTCCACTAACATGAAGTGAAGCGATTATATCAAATCAAATGCTATGTATACTGCAAGGAAATTTGGTTCGCTGTCATGCCGAAAACATTTTCTCATCAGAACCCATCTTACACATTTATAAATCTACCATTCGTCTGTGCATTGAATATTGTTGTCATATATGGTCTGGTGCTCCTGCTGTACATCTTGAGATTCTTGACAAAATCTAGAGAAGGGTCTGTTATATAAGCGATCCTGATCAGGCATCTCATCTCCATTCACTTTCTCATCGATGTGGCATAGCTTCCCTCTGTATGTTCTACAAATATGTTCACGGCAACTGCTCTAATGAGTTTTTCCCTCATGTCCCGACTACATGATTGTCAACTAGGTCTCACCGTTTTACTTTCAAACTAGATAGATGCAACCGCCACTTCTATTCTAACAGTTTTTTGCACACTTTACGATTATATATATATAAATTAAATAATAATTAAATATATATATACATACATACATATATATATATGTGTGTGTGTGTGTGTGTGTGTGTGTGTGTGTGTGTGTGTGTGTGTGTGTGTGTGTGTGTATAAATAAAAAGAAAGAACAGTAAGATATATAATCCTGTGTTCTTATAGATATTTTTATTTTTACAAAATAGTGCTCAATGTAAATTTACAGAGCATTAATATTCTTTTAAAAAGAAATTACAGAAATATTCTTTTAAAAAGAATTTACAGAGCATTAATATTCTTTTAAAGAGAAATATAGTCTATTAAAAATAAACAGTGAAAATATTTTAAAGTTGTATTTAAAATTGTAGTTAAATAAAAAGAATTATAACTAACTAAAGTACCAAAAAGTAACTAATAACGGATACATCAAAATAAAGCTATAATGAACACGCAGACACCCCTTGTCTGGTTGAAGTGGATTTCTATGTATCCTTGGAAACGTGAATTATGATTTTTGCTGTGTCTTTAAAACCCAGTAATTTTAAAAGTTACTCCAAAATTCGCTTGAGGATGAAATGGAACTTATGTCTTTAATTTAATTACAAAATTAAAATCGGAGCTTTTAGCTTCCACTTTTGAAACATGGTTAGAACTGTGTAGCGAAAAAAACATATTTTAAACCAATTATATATATATATATATATATATATATATATATATATATATATATATATATATAATGTAGCGCCAGAGCAAATATTAAATAATTATAAGAGACAACCTTAAGGCTCCATGACTATAATTTATTTCTCCGGAAAATACATTTGTTTTTGGTTCATCAGGCCACATCTCTAGTTACAAAAGCTTTGTAACTAGAGATGTAACCTGATGAACCAGGAAAAATATATTTTCTTGGTAAATAAATTATAGTCATGGAACCTTAATATTGTCTCTCTTTCTTAATTATTTAATTAATTATATATATATATATATATATATATATATATATATATATATATATATATATATTATTTAAATTATATATATATATATATATATATATATATATATATATATATATATATATATATATAATCCTATGTCCTTTCAGAATATAAACGATCAACAGTTTCCATTCCTGTATAAACTGCAAATTACCATGTTTTCTTAGGAAATATTGGATAGAATTTTCCGTTGTCTACCTGACTGTTTTAAATTCAGAGGCTGCTACTCGGTCTAGAGAGTACAGTCTGCCCTACTATTTATCCCATGTCTGGAGGGGAAGAGAATCTGGACTCGACTCAACGATTCGACATTCCGCGCCGATAACAGATATTTGTACACCCTTTTTATAATTATTAGTCTGTGTTTTAACTGACCTGTAATGAAACAAATAGCTTTAAAGTATGCTTTCCCAACGATTCGTGTTGATATTTATTATTTTATGCGAAATATCTACTGCTTTCCTGAATACAGACAGACAAGTAAGTTCAGTGATTTAAGCACCAAGGTTAACCCGATCAACATCGCTCGGGCGATTTGGGCACAAAAGGTTTACTCCAAAAATAATATTTTTTTGGCACTGCAGCAAAATGGAGAATCGATAGAGCTACACAATATTCGAAACAACTGAAACGCGCTAGCAAGGTCAAGGTCAAGAAAAATTCACAAATAGAAATTATATCATCGATTTATCATCTGTTGCCCTCCACACTGGATTATTTGAGAGATATGTCTTACGTCTGAACTAGATAAAATTGCGCATCTGCAGTTTTGGAAAGAAAGCAATCATTATCTACACAAAGTACACGATCAATACCTATGGAAAGTACACGATCATTGCCTACGCAAAGTACAGATTAAAACACAAACGGTGAAACGGAATATTCGTAAAAAAGTTTTCTTTGTGATTTTCCTTTTTATATTATTTAGAGGGTTATGACGGGTGTTTCGTATGTTTTATTAGGCTAAATAATAAATAAATAAAGATGAGTGTTCCATGACGTGATAATCTTCCGATAGGTTTGGAACTGTGGCTCCTAAAAATAAGCATTCAAAATTTAACAGACTTATAACAACAGAGTTGAACATCAAACTGTTTCTTTTCATTCAGCTCGATTTTATCATGTTTAAATGGAAACAATTGTTTGATTTAGATATCGTTGGCATAAAACTTAATTGATATATATGAAAGAATTTATTAATCTCTCTCTTTGTTTCTCTCTCTTTATCTCTCTCCTTTGCTCGCACTCTCTATCTCTGTATATGTTTGTATGTGTGCACGTGTTTTGTTTGATATAAAATATAATATTTGACATGTATATATATATATATATATATATGTGTGTGTGTGTGTGTGTGTGTGTGGAAACATACATACCATTCATGTCTATTGACATAATTGATCAAAGTTTTTGACTAAGGTAAAAAAAACTATCGCTCTCTCTCTCTCTCTCTGTCTCTCTCTGTCTCTGTCTCTCTGTCTCTCTCTCTCTCTTTCTCTGCATGCGCGTGCGTGTATATATATATATATATATATATATATATATATATATATATATATATAACCGGATATAAGAGATTTGTCCGTACCGGAGAAGAAGTCTCTTATATCCGGGTTTGGTCTATTTTGTTTAGGTAAGTGGCTCTAATTTGGGACCAGAGAAAATCTCTCTTATATTCGTGTTTCTCTTATATCCGGGTTACACTGTATATAGTAGTTATCGACGAGGAAAGTGATGTCGGTATGCTAAATTCTAATTTCAGACGACATCTTTGCGTTCATTTTAGCACAAATACACTTTTGCGGATATCTGTTTTCCCCAGATGTAAGTTAAATAGCAAGACAGACTGAGAGTCTTGGTTGACAACCAGTCTAGAAGAAGAACATCTCTGAATTCAAAACTTGCGATATTTGAAACACTCATCTGTGTAGCGATATTTAATGTCTAAGAGAGCCAATTTAAATCTTAACCAGACAGCCAAGGTGATTTATTTTATGATAAATGTAATTATCTTATCAAATTCTGGGATGAAGTCTTGCCATTATTCTCTACATTGTTCAGACTAGTATCCTCATCTTACTTTTTTTTCTCTTTTTACAAATATAGTTTGTAATTTGTTCACTTGGTTTTATTATTTAACTGAAGTCGTATTAAAAGCAAGTGAAAAAAAAACAACTGTATAGGTTGGATAGTTGTAACATTTTCTCGGTTCAAACCGGGCCAAAGAAATGCTGATTCCCAAGGTAAATATTTCCTTCGACCTTGGATGAATGATGCAAAATAATCTATCGACACCTATTCAGAGTTGAGCCAGATTTATCCAAGTTTAGTACAAAACAATAAATGTGCATGAGATCATTCTGTTATCTAGAAAAAAAAATGGCAAGCCGAAAATTGCATTAGCCGAAACATAATACAAACACCAAATATATATATACCTGAATAATTCATGAACATTATTGTACAAATATTAATAGATATAAAGAGTAATGTGATATCCTGAAACTAAATGAAATTATAGTTGAATGTATGAATAATATATTTCTTACCTCTGTAGCCACCTGGGGTATTTAGTTGCATGTTGATTTTCAAATGGTTCAGAGTTGCCCAGAAATATTCGTCCGGACTTGAAATGTCCTCCATCCATTTAAGAAGATCCTGTGCCCGCTTGTCAAACAAAGCAAACTGTACAAAGCTTTTGCTAAATACACCGTAGGCGCTGCCCTTAACAATGCTGATTTTATGTGGGGGAGGTGCTTTTCTCTTACTCGTCCGCTTAATATAGCTCGTCTCTCCCTTCCTGGACCAGTAGATGTAATGCCGGTACTGAAAACGCTCTGGAAGAATGCGTTTCCCTGTGATTCCTTCAATATCATTAGCACCATTGTAGATCTTAAGAATCTTAACCAATTCTGCGTTCGTCTTGAGCGGATATACCTGACTAGGCAAATTTATAAAATATTTCCAACTTCCGTTCCTTGAGATTAAGTCAGTCATGCAATTGATGTCGGCCTGAAGCCGAGAAAATGAAGAATAAACAACTTCTTCAAGTTTGGAAGCGATGAAAACGTTATTGAAACAAGACACCAACTGTATGACTGCATAATGCAACTGGAACGGTGCCTTGGCATCGATATGAAGGCAATACCAGTTCTGTGGCCGGTAAATTGCCCGCAAGAGCTTTTCCACCTGGACAACGTCTTTATACAAGAGTATGCTATATGCCACAGGGAATTTCATTTCTTCACGAGAAGAATGAAGTATGTAGCGCTGTTTCTTCTTGAATTCGTTGCAGTTGGCCACTTGGCGCAGTAGTTCTTTCTCACTAGTCGGTTTCATTTGTTTCATCACGTTCAGAGCGCGAATAAGTTCGGTCTCATTCATGTTGAGAATTGCTTTGCAATTGACTGACTTAACAATGCGGTCGTTTGGGTCGCAGTGCGGTAACATAGACTCTGTTGTTCTCGCTTCTGCCAGAACTTCTTTAGGGGTGGCGAACTGGTTTCCAGGGATAGCAGCATGAAGAATCATACCAGGGAAAGTGTACAATTTAAAAAACGAGTAGCTGAAACCGCAAATGCCGGCCAAGAAGAAAACAATGACGAGTCTTTTCAGCTTTCGACTCATGCTGAACATTTCACAGAAGTAGGGACTCGAGTGGTATAAGAAAAACGAAAGATGCCACGGAAGATCTGAAAATAATAAAATATAATAAAATCATTAAGTTTCAAATAAACACACACGCACACACACACACACATATAATATATTTATAAATATTATAGTGAATTTTTAATCATTTCAAGCAAGGCAATAAAGCTACTAAGATGCAAAGTGTTTACAGTGTATGAAAGAATATGAGAAAAAGAAAACATTATAAAGGTGGGAGAACAATAAAAGAATAGGAATTAAAAAGACAGAAGATAACGATTGACATTGCATTTAAATTTTTGAAGATCAAATTTGATTAGAAAGTAAGAAGCCTGAAAAGGGTTCCACCATCGAGAAGACTGAGAGAAAAAAAAACTGTTAGCATAGAACTTACGGTTACATCTAACCATTTCAATTGAAAAATGATGAGATCTTACCGCCAATTTAGTACTGGGCTTAAATGCATTATGTCTAGGTACCAAAAAGAAAAGTTCATCAGAACAATTACCATGAAAATATTTATAGAAAAGGCACTGAGAAGCTACGTCACGGCGGTAAGAAAGTGACTGATCCGAGATGCCAGATCAAGACAAATAACATTGCAGATTCTCATTTATATTTTATCAAGAATCTTTAAATGAATAGCAGAAGCACCAGACCAGATGTGAGAACAATATTCAATGCTAGACTCTGTGTGTGTGTGTGTGTGTGTGTGTGTGTGTGTGTGTGTGTGTGTGTGTGTGTGTGTGTGTGTGTGATAAAAATATAGTTTTGTAATATGTTATATTTATGCGAATATCAGTGATAGAGCGTATGTAAATATAAAAGTGGAGTTCAATGCCAATCGGCGACAGTCTGTTTGAAGCTTCAGGCTATGTGTGTTGTGTTTTGTCTCGACTATTTAAATATGCTGTTCAATGGTGCATTGTGGGTAGTAAGGTTTATTGTATTATCCTAACAGTTATTGTTTGGGCAGTAACGGTTATGTTTCAAATTATTCTAGAGGCTATTGAGTAGAAATAATTGTGGACCCGAATGTGGATATTTGTAGCTATTTTGTAATGCTGTCTTTTAAGTTTTTATTCATTATTTATTATTGATTACAACATATATAAATACACATGGCCTAAAGATTGCGTTCAAGCATGAAACTGTCTATCGCCGCTTGGTGTTAACCTCAGTATACACTTATATATATAAGTGTTGACTTCTATGTTCACTTTTATATTTACACACGCTCTATCTCTGATATTGAGCACTTTATCCCATAAATATAGCACATCTTAAGACTATATTTCTTCATATATATATATATATATATATATATATATATGTATGTATGTATATATATATATTATAGTGCATTTCATAAATATTCTATAAACATATAAAAATATTTTATCACTCTTCTTTTCCCATCATAACATAAAACCTACAATTCATTGGGAACATTTCCTAACAACTAGATTTCGTAGTGATTGGTGAAGATGATTTCTTTTCCTAAATTCTCTCATGAGAGGGAACAGAGATCAACGAAATCAACTTTTCTTTATCATACCTGCATTTGGCTGCTACAGGATCTTCTGCAAACCTTTCCACACTTTCCAAAATTTTACGCGTTGTTGTACCTTTTGCAAGATCTGAAGTTTTATTTTATTTTATTTTATTTTGTTTTGCTTTTCGTTTTTTTTTATTTATTTTTTTAAACAAATCAGACTTATGACTTATTTTAAAGTTTCAAACTGGCAACATGGATATCAATTTGAAGTTTCAAAATTCAGAACATTTCCTTCAAATAGTTACCGTTGTTTTACATCTACGCAGATCAACGACGCTTTCATCATAACGGATAGATGTTGCCATCATGCCATCATTCAACAAATAAAGTTTTAGTTCCAAATTATATATATTAATAAAATATGAAGCAACTAATAATGTGAAACCCAAGTGTAGATATGTATGTATATATGTATGTATCTATGTATGTGTGTTTGGTGAATACTCTCGTCAGTTTCGACGTATGAGGGCCCAACTGTTCAGTTTTAAAATTGATTATTCGATTTTAGTGCTGAAGGCTTGCTTAGAAACAAACACATTTTTCAGAAAAAACTGATAACAGAAAATTGTACACAGAGTGCTAGGAAGTCTTCAAGAAGTCATCGTCGAGTTTGAATTCAGAATTCTTTTCTTAGACTACTAAACAACCAAGGCTAGATCTCAGTTTGCACTGCTATTTAACTAATACCTGGACGAAGAATGAATGGATCCATAATTGTGCTGATAACCATAATGCTACGCACACGCACACACACACACATATATATATATATATATATATATATATATATATATATATATATATATATATATATATATTGTTTGATTAGTAGTTATGCAAATAGACACATAGTTATGAACTGTATTAGTCATGAGGGAGAAATCTTTTTGTCATTTTTCTACTGGTGCACTATTTCCTTTATTATGTTTGAGGATAACATGGTCAAAAGATTTATTGGTGGAGAATAAAACCATATCCCCTTTTTTCCTCAAGTTAAAGGACGAGACATATAATTACTAAGATAAAAAAAACCTTTGTAAGAATATGTTTCAGAGCAAATTTCTTAACAAAGTATGAATAGATGAAATAAGGAACAAAGAATGCTGACAACTCGTTAACATACGAGAATATGAAAAAATACAGTCTTCAAAAACTCTTTCTTCAATGTAGTAATGTTAATAAATATTTTCGGCTACATATTTCAAAAATATTTAATATATACAAGCTATAAATGTGAAGTAGGCACAGGCATAGCAACCACGAAGCAAAATAAATAAGAGACAGACGAGTTGCCTCCCTTTGTATATATTGGTACTCTGTGGTGTATTTAACGTTCTTTCTGTCCCCACACGCACTGGCATCAAGTAGACCAATAAATATCGTTAGTCAGCCAGACTCTGATATCGACGCATTCATCAAGTCAATACGAGACATTGATTTGCAAATCACTCCATCGGAGATGGAGGTGACGGATAGACGAATGATTGGTTACACCGACAAACGCTAGTTAGCTCAGGCGTCATGTCTTGCATAAAAAATATGAGTAGGGAACGAAAATGTAAATTTTAAAATGAAATCGTTATGCTACTTTAAAGATAGGTATAGTAGTAGTAGTCGTAGCAGTGCGTGTCTGTGCGTGTTATATAGTAACAGTTTCTAGTTTTATGCTAACAGTTTCCAACAGTAACAAAAACCTTTACGTTTGCATCTCATGATTGGTAGATGAGAAAACGAGTCAAGTGTACAAATAGGAGCCTCAGGTAAGCGTAGAGATAGATAGATAGATAGATAGATAGATAGATAGATAGATAGATAGATAGATAGATAGATGTTTGGCTGGATGAGAGCAGACTGAGATAGATTTAAGTTCATCGATAAATATATGTATATCCCAAATTTGAAAACAAATACGCGCTTTCTTTTTGGAATGAGGTTAATATCTGTTTTCAATTATATCTGCACGTAGGATTTTGTCTATATTAACCATCGTGTATATATCTGTTTCTATAACTGTGGAATCGAGCAAAATTGCAAAACGTATGAAGTCATATAACATCAGAATTCACCTTTAATAGATAGATAGATGTTCGGCGTGTGTGTGTGTGTGTGTGTGTGTGTGTGTGTGTGTGTGTGTGTGTGTGTTCTTATCCATCCGCAGACTGGTATTAAGTACACATTGAAACAAAAGAAATGCAAATAGATTGCTTTTTTCCCTATGTCTGAGCAGACAACACCGGAAGGGAGCATCACGTGACACCCGCGTAGCGCATATTGCTTTTACTTGCTTGCAGCCAACTTCTGACTCTAACATTTGTACACAGTCAATCTTGACAAAAGTTTCAAGGTATGCGCCCATTCACAATGCTACAAGAAGTTTTTAATATACCTCACATGTGTACTTGGTGTTAGCACTGTGGCTCGGTAGCAGAATTTTTATAATGATATTCACCCTGTACAAGGCCCAAAAACCACTCACTGTAGAGGGAAATATAAGGAAAAGACTTTAGAAGGAACTCGAAACGCAATCCTAAACAGGATTCAATGGATAAATCTCTATTCATGTTCAAAAGAATTATCTACTCCTATTGAGAAAAGTAAAAGTAATTGAATAGTAAATAAAAGTTCAGAGTTTTAAGTGGAGACGTTAGAAGTATAGAGTTGAAGAAGACATTAAAATAGCTACCTAAACTGATTTGCTAAAAAAATTAGTGTACCATGATGAAAAAAACAACCCAAACTTAATAAAAACAAAGATTTATCGCCAAAATCTTTATTATTAAGAGGAAAGCCGAAAATATTTTTTTTATTATTAAATCATATTTTTAATCCTTTTAAGAAGGTTCGAAATTTTAGTTAAAAATCTTGTTTTCCTTCCGTTAATCTGCTCTTTTTTGGTAAAATAAAAATGCAATAAAACTACGACATTATTTAATTAGAAAAACTTTTAATTGATTTTACGAATAAGATATATTAAGGACACTATTATCGTAAAGAAAAAAAAGAAATTTTCGATGAATAATGAATTTTTGGAAGAATTGTTTTCATTTTCTTAAATTTTAATTAGGATAGTTTATAAAGTTTCAAATCTTTTAAATTTCTGCATTACTTTGACCCCATAAGTTGATATTATTATAAAGTAAAAACTATATTTACTGATCATAAATGGAAAAGTTTAGTACAAATCATCAAATATCAATATTTTTAAAAGAATTTTGATTTTTTGTATGTATATAAACGTGCCGATACAGCTATAGGACATTATCAGAAATTAAGTGCGATAACTATAGTAAATTTAAAGCTATAGTATCTAAAATTCAATAAAATGCTAAATTACAGAGAATATTTTCCCAAATTTATAAGATTACTGAGTACTTAATAATTATTTAAAAAGGCGCTCACATTATATTCCTCAATTATTTTTACAGATATAGACACCGATGAAAAACATTAGATAAACTTGCAACTGTCAACACCGTAAATAAACAGATACTGCCATGTTTGCCAAAAATAATGATCAACAGGACGAACCACGAACAATGCTCAAAAAGCTTAGCCACAAATAATGCTCAACAATATTTGACACACATAACGCTCAATCAGACTAACCACAAATAACGCTCAGCAAGACTAGACACGAATGTAGGCATTGGTTAGTAAAATCCATCATTTCTAGGTAAATTGACTACAGTCATTGATATGTTCTCGATGACGAATCATTTGTTGAAATCATTCTAGTCCGATGTTGTTGCCTCGATCACTTTGACATCTATTGAGTTGCAATTTGAAGATTGAATCAAGTATGTTTTGGCACGATATCTGACACGTAATAAAGAAAATCTCGTTTTATCGATTCACTTAATAATTCTCGGTCAATTACTTACTGAATAACACATAAGGTTTCTTCTGAACTTATCTGATTTTTATCCTTTATGAAAAAGCGATATTTCTAATGCTAAATATCTAAAAATAAAGTTTCAGAAAATAATAGGTGTGTGCAAAAGTTTGCAGGGCTTTTTAGCCACTGAATATACAGTTAAAAAGCGGCTTATCCCTGATTTTTTTTTTTTTTTTTTTTTTTGTATATACCTAACGAGTCATTTCGATATCAGATTCCTTTGTAAAAGATAGTTATATAATTAAAATGACCAGATATTACAAGTTTTTTTTTTATTTTCTCTGTGTAAAAACTAGTTATGAAGGTCTTAGTTTTCAGTCAATATGAGTGAAAGGAATTGATGTGTTGAAAACTACAAAAACTCCAAAGTTATGTAGCCAGACACAAGATTTATTTTATTTGTATAGTTTGTTTTCCATTTTTCAACCGTATTATGCATTCTATTCTGCTATAATTGCATAAATGTGCAATATCATATGCACATACACACACACACACACACACACACACACACACACACACACATATATTTTAAAATATATATATATATATATTTTATATATATATATTTTTATATAAATTTTATAATACATTATAAATATATAAATGTGTGTGTGTGTGTGTTGAAAGAATAGTATGATACATAATATATATTTATAATCCGGTATTACTATTAATATATTTTTATTTTAAAACCAGTGATTTATTTAATATATGTAAATATATAATAAATTATAAATTATTTAAATTTATAATACATTATAATTTAGATAATATATAAATGATTATATTTTGTGTGTGTGTGTGTAAACTCTACTACAATATATCATTTATTGACAAATGAGTCCCAATCAAAGAGAAATTATTTTTTCTCATAAAAAATTCAACACATCTTCTGCTATCATTAAATTGTTTCAAATAATTATAAATATGCTTCTAAAAATCATGAAACAAATGTATTTAAAAACTCATTGCATGATAAAACCTCAAGAGTACTTGAAATAGCAATGATGCATGAGTATCCCAGTGTAAAATCTGTATCAAGACAGATGTGATGTCAGCGGGTAAACATTCCTGTTACAGAGATATTATTTCATTAATTGTTAGGTAGAACAATCGCAAAAATGACACCAATCTTTATTTATTAACTCTGATTTATTTAGTTATTTCAGTATTCGTACTTGACTATAAAGTTTTAAAAAGTGAATAATTTAATATATGACAAATATATAAAATAATTATATATACAATGTATTTATTAGATTTTATATATATTTTATATTCGTTAACACGAACTATTTTAAATTATGAATTTAGATAATAAAATAATAAATCTTGTTAAAACATTTTCTTTGTACAAATTTCTGCTACCAAATAGAATTATTCGTTTTCAATTACATTTTATTTAACAAAATATGACTCTTCTTCAGGCTTTACCACGAAACTAACCAGCAGTCAACAATTTGCATTTGAAACCATTTAATGTATTTATCTTCAGGTGTCTTATTTTTAATGCTGTTTTGTATTTGTAATCTCAGCAATAAATGCAAGCAAATGTAGGGAAAATAGTTTTTGGGAAATAAATGTGAGCGAAGAAAGGAAGAAAGAAAGAAAGTAAGAAAGAAAGAAAGAAAGAAAGAAAGAAACACGTTAAGAGACAGAATCTATTTTGGTAAAGCGGAAAGAGAATGCATAAAGAAATAGGAGAAAATAGAATGCCAAAAGAAAACGAAGTAAGTTAAGTTTAATGGTGTTTCAGCAATAAGAAAAAGATATTTAAAAAGACAGAGACAGAGGAACATTAGGAAAAACTGTTAGGAAGAGAAACTGATAGGAAGAGAAACTGATAGGAAGAGAAACTGGAAGAGAAACTGATAGGAAGAGAAATGATAGGAAGAGAAACTGATCTGAAACTAGGAAGAGAAACTGATTTCAAACTGTTAGGAAAGAAACTGATAGAAGAGAAACTGATAGGAAGTGAAACTGTTATTGGGAAGAGAAACTGATAGGAAAAAACTCATGAAACTGTTAGGAAGAGAAATGATAGGAAGAGAAACTTTAAAAGAAACTGATAGGAAGAGAAACTGATTGAAACTGTTAGGAAGAGAAATGATAGAAAGAAACTGATAGGAAGAGAAACTGATAGGAAGTGAAACTGTTAGGAAGAGAAACTGTTAGGAAGAGAAAGTGTTAGGAAGAGAAACTGATAGGAAGAGAAACTGTTAGGAAGAGAAACTGTTAGGAAGAGAAACTGATAGGAAGAGAAACTGATAGGAAGTGAAACTGTTAGGAAGAGAAACTGATAGGAAGTGAAACTGTTAGGAAGAGAAACTGTTAGGAAGAGAAACTGATAGGAAGAGAAACTGATAGGAAGAGAAACTGTTAGGAAGAGAAACTGATAGGAAGAGAAACTGATAGGAAGCAAACTGTTAGGAAGAGAAACTGTTAGGGAAGAGAAACTGATAGGAAGAGAAACTGTTAGGAAGAGAAACTGATAGGAAGAGAAACTGATAGAATGAAACTGTTAGAAGAGAAACATTAGAAAGAGAAACTGATTGTAGGAAGTGAAACTGTTAGGAAGAGAAACTGTTAGGAAGAGAAAGTGTTAGGAAGAGAAACTGATAGGAAGAGAAACCGTTAGGAAGAGAAACTGTTAGGAAGAGAAATGATATAAGAGAAACTGATAGGAAGTGAAACTGTTAGGAAGAGAAACTTTGAAACCATCTGCTAGGAAGAGAAACTGTTTTAGTAGGAAGTGAAACTGATAGGAAGAGAAACTGTTAGGAAGAGAAACTGATAGGAAGTGAAACTGATAGGAAGAGAAACTGATAGGAAGAGAAACTGATAGGAAGAGAAACTGATAGGAAGAGAAACTGTTAGGAAGAGAAACTGTTAGGAAGAGAAACTGATAGGAAGAGAAACTGTTAGGAAGAGAAACTGATAGGAAGAGAAACTGTTAGGAAGTGAAACTGTTAGGAAGAGAAACTGATAGGAAGTGAAACTGTTAGGAAGAGAAACTGTTAGGAAGTGAAACTGTTAGGAAGAGAAACTGTTAGGAAGAGAAACTGTTAGGAAGAGAAACTGTTAGGAAGTGAAACTGTTAGGAAGAGAAACTGTTAGGAAGAGAAACTGATAGGAAGTGAAACTGTTAGGAAGTGAAACTGATAGGAAGTGAAACTGTTAGGAAGTGAAACTGATAGGAAGAGAAACTGATAGGAAGAGAAACTGATAGGAAGAGAAACTGTTAGGAAGAGAAATAGGAAAGAAACTTTAGGAAGTGAAAAGTGAAATAGGAATGTTTGAAAACTGTTAGAACTTTTGAAAGGAAGTGAAACTGATAGAATGAATCTGTTAAAACTGATAGGAAGTGAAACTGTTAGAAAGAGAAACTGTTAGGAAGTGAAACTGTTAGGAAGAGAAACTGAAACTGTTAGGAAGAGAAATTAGGAAGTGAAACTGTTTTTAGGAAGAGAAACTGTTTAAACTGTTTTTTGAAACTTAGGAAGAGAAATTCGTTAGGAAGTGAAAAGGAAGTGAAACTAGTGAAACTGTTTTTGAAATTAGGAAGAGAAACTGATAGGAAGAGAACTGATAGGAAGAGAAAGTTAGAAGAGAAACTGATAGGAAGAGAAATAGGAAGAGAAACTGTTAGGAAGAGAAACTGATAGGAAGTGAAACTGTTTTAAAGTGAAACTGTTAGGAAGAGAAACATTTAGGAAGAGAAACTGATAGGAAGAAATTGATAGGAAGAGAAACTTTGTTAGGAAGAGAAACTGATAGAAGTGAAACAAATTTGAAACTGTTAGGAAGTGAAACTGTTAGGAAGTGAAACTGTTAGGAAGAGAAATAGGAAGAGAAACTGTTAGGAAGTGAAACTGTTAGGAAGAGAAACTGATAGGAAGTTCGTTTTGAAACAATTAGGAAGTGAAACATTTTATTTAGGAAAGAAAATAGGAAGTGAAACTGTTAGGGAAGTGAAACTTCTTAGGAAGAGAAACTGTTAGGAAGAGAAACTGATAGGGAAGTGAAACTGTTAGGAAGTGAAACTGATAGGAAGTGAAACCTGTTAGGAAGAAAGAAACTGATAGGAAGTGAAACTGTTAGGAAGTTGAAGAGAAACTGATAGCAATGAAACTGTTAGGAAGAGAAACTTTAGGAAGAGAAACTGATAGGAAGAGAAACTGTTAGGAAGAGAAATTTAGGAAGAGAAATGTAGGAAGAGAAATTTGTTAGGAAGAGAAACTTAGGAAAGAGAAACTGATAGGAAGAGTCTTAGGAAGAGAAACTGATTTTTAGGAATGAAACTGTTTTGTTAGGAAGAGAAATTTAGGAAGAGAAACTGATAGGAAGTGAAACAAGGAAGAGAAATTAGGAAGAGAAACTGATAGGAAGTGAAACTGTTAGAAGAGAAACAAATGTAGGAAGAAAATAGGAAGAAACTGTTAGGAAGTTAGGAAGAGAAACTGTTTGATAGGAAGTGAAACTGTTAGGAAGAGAAACTGATAGGAAGTGAAAAGGAAGAGAAACTGATAGGAAGTGAAACTGTTAGGAAGTGAAACTGTTAGGAAGAAAGAAAGAAACTGATAGGAAGAGAAACTGATAGGAAGAGAAACTGATAGGAAGAGAAACTGAAGGAAGAAGAAAAAGGAAGTGAAACTGTTAAGAAGTGAAACTGATAGGAAGAGAAAATAGGAAGAGAAACTGTTAGGAAGAGAAACTGATAGGAAGTGAAACTGTTAGGAAGAGAAACTGATAGGAAGTGAAACTGTTAAAGGAAGAGAGTTAGGAAGTGAAACTGTTAGGAAGAGAAACTGATTGAAACTGTTAGGAAGAGAAACTGATAGGAAGTGAAACTGTTAGGAAGAGAAACTGATAGGAAGAGAAAATAGGAAAGAAACTGATAGGAAGTGAAACTGTTAGGAAGAAAAAGTGAAAAAGGAAGAGAAACTGTTAGGAAGTGAAACTGTTAGGAAGAGAAACTGTTGAAGTGAAACTGTTAGAAGAGAAACTGATAGGAAGTGAAACTGTTAGGAAGAGAAAGAGAAACAATAAGAAGAGAAACTGGAAGAGAAACTGATAGGAAAAACTGTTAGGAAGAGAAACTGAGGAGTGAAACTGTTAGGAAGAGTGAAAGTTAGGAAGAGAAGGAAAAACTGATAGGAAGTGAAACTGTTAGGAAGAGAAACTGATAGGAAGGAAACTGTTAGGAAGAGAAACTGATAGGAAGAAACTGTTAGGAAGAGAAACTGTTAGGAAGAGAAACTGTTAGGAAGAGAAACTGACAAAACAAAGAATTTTTGAATTATGATAATAAGTAACGGTAGAACTTAATTGTATCTAATTTCCGAAATGTTTTTTTTTCTAGTATTTCAATATGATATGAAGTAATGTTTATTTTAAAATGTTTTTTTTTTTTTTTTTTTTTGCTAAATTCATAAATTCGATTTAAAAAACGTAATATGTTTTAATAATTAAAATTGTGAATTCGAGGAATTACGAATTGTGACATAGTAATATTCAATCATACTTTTAATAGTGTTTTACCCAGGATAATTACATAATAAGTCTAATTTAGTGCAAAGAATTATTGCGCAATTTTAGTATATACAATATATGTTTCATTACTGCTAACATCTAAATAATGTCATATTATTTAGAAGTAACTGATTTGATAATGAGAAAAACATCTAAATAATGTCCACATATTATTTATATATATATATATATATATATATATATAATATATATATATATATGCAATCAAAAAATGTCATATAATATATATATATATATATATATATATATATATATATATATATATATATCAAATAAATATATAAATATAATATATATATATATATATATCAATCAAAAAATATATATATATATATATATATATATATCAATCAAACAAATATATATATATATATATATATATATATATCAATCAAATAAATATATATATATATATATATATATATATATATCAATATAAATATATATATATATATATATATATATATATATATATATAGTTTATGAAAATAGGTAATCCGTGTGGGTAAACCTAAGGAGGATAAAATCCAGAGAGCTCAATGTAAATCCAGAGCAAATAATTTAAATAAAAAACAGACCACTTTAAGGTTCCATGTAATAAATTATTTCACCACAGCCCTTTTAAAAGGACTGCGGATCATCAGACTTTACTTGGAAGTAAAGTCTGATGATCCGCAGTCCTTTAAAAGGCTGTGGTGAAATAATTTATTACATGGAACCTTAAAGTGGTCTTTTTTTTTTTTATATATATATATATATATATATATATATATATATATATATATATATATATATCTCAAACAAATCATTATAAATAGGTTAAAACTACCTTTAGATTATTTTAATATTTTACTTCTTTGATGTAAAGCTTCATCTGAATGAATCTGCGTTCTTTCCTTCTTGGAGTTTCTTCGCTTTTGTCTTTACGTTTTCTTTTCTTTCTTTAATGAATATTCGTTCTATATTTAGTGCATATATAGTCTTAATCTCATCCTTGTGCCACAGCTAAGCTGCGATTAGTAAAAAAATACGTAAAAAAAACTAAAACAAATCATTATACATTCAGCAGATTTGTCACTGAAATCGTTGTGAAATCATAATGACGTAATTCATTTGTTTTCATTGTTCGGACTGTTGTCCTCATCTTTATTGCCATATTCTCGATGTTTCGACCGTTTGTACGCTTCGGCCTTGTTCAGATAATTAAAATTTCGAACAGAATCCTTTATTTCGTCAACCAGAGTAGCTTGTTCTAAGTTCCACGTGCCATGCCGCTTCCGGATGCTTAATTCAACTCTCCAAGTTTTTTTGTTTGTTTTAGCCAGGTATTGAACTCACAACCCTTTGGCCCAAGTCACTGGATCCAACCAACCCTTTTATCCCTGTTTCCTTGAGGACATCAGTGTATGAATTTTGGGGATTTATAAATTTAATATCTCAGTTTCATCTTTTACCAGAGCTCATATTGCAATTTTTGTTTTTCTCTAACACTCCGTATTACTAGTTCCCATATTTTATTCATTTCTATGTTTGGCCGAGTTATGAGATTATTGTGGCCTAGCATATTTACCGAATCCTTAAGTTTTCGTATTTTCCAGTAATGTTCTCTGTCTATTATTTGAAATTCATTCTCTTCATATGTGGTCAACTACGCCTGATTTTTCTATTTCTCTTTGTGTTACAGCTTTTCGATGTTTTTGCAGTTTTACCTTAAGGAGGTGGTCTGTTTCCCCTTATATTTCTTACCACAACTGCACGGGATGGCGTATACACAGTCCTTAGTCATATTCTCCTCTATGAAGATTCTTACTCGGAAGAGGTGTCTGCGAAGTGTCGAACCACTTTTGAAAATTGTCCTGTTATATGGACCACAGATATTTTGTATTTTCGCAGATAATCCCTTCACATAGGATAGGCAGACCAAAGCTGTTTTCTGAGTGTTGTTATCCTATTGTACCCTTGTATCCCATTTTTGGAGCTGCTGCCATGTACCTAGGTTGTTACGTTGTAGGGTCCAGTTTATACTGACCATTTCTTGTTCATATGTCTCTGGGTCGCCACATTACTTTTTATCGATGTTGTAAGCAACGGACGATCCCTTTCTTTACACTGTATGGGTGGCGGGAGTTGAAGTTGAGGTAGTGTCTGGTGAATGTTGGTTTGCAGTATACGGATGTCTTGAATCCATGCTCTGTTCGAGATATTAGCACTTCAAGAAATGCGAGTTTGTTGTCGTTTTCTCTCTCCTTTGTGAACTGTATCGAGTTCACAGGGTCCAGTAGCTGCTGGGCCTCTTCCTGGTGTGGCAAGAGTATGAAGTTGTCATCTTCGTATCTCAGTCATAGGGTTGACTTTAGTGATGTGGATTCTAATGCCATTTCTTCGAAGTATTCTATGTATATGTTTGCCATTGTCGATGATAATGGCGAGCCCATTGCTAAGCCTTCATCCTATCAATATATGTCGGATCCCATTCCGAAGTGTGCTGTTCGTGTACAGAAAGTAAGCATCTACATCAGGTTATCTATTAATATACTGGTAGACTCTCCTAGTGATGAGTTCGAGGTCAGTCTGTCCCTAACTACGATAATGTCCCCTCCTTGGTGAACAAACTCACCACGTCCAGGCTCACCATCTGGTTGAATTGAGTATTTCCACGAGGTGGGCGGATTTTCGGACATATGAATGTGACTTTCCTATTAAAGTGTCAATTATATCTAAAGGAAATGACTGAGAAGGTGGCACACAGAGACTTGCAGCTAACAAACACCTGAAGATGGCCGGAGCATACAACGACAGAAACGTCGTGAATATGGCAATAAAGATGAGGACAACAGTCCGAACAATGTAAATAATGTAAATAATTACAATACCTCATCTCTGAAATATAGATAGTCATTTATTTTCCTTTGTTGCCTTTAAAATTATACTCACGTCTTCTACGCCTTCTAGCATAAGAGGTGCACATTAACTCTTTAACTCCAATTATGTGGGGGTGCCCCTCCCCACCAGACAATAACTCTCACTCTCTCTCTCTCCTCTCTCTCTCTCTCTCTCTCTCTCTCTCTCTCTCTCTCTGGGGGATAGGGTCATTACCTGGTGCCTCTGGAGTTCTCAAAAGGATAAGTGCCTTGGTGATGGTGCTGTTTTGGACGGTCCTACGTCGGACTTCTGCATTTCAAACCAGGCCTATTAATATATTAAGTTTGAAGCTATTGATAAATATCCTTAGATAGACTTTTCTTCTGTGCCTTACCAGACATTACCTTTTATAATTTGATACTAAACTGAACTGTGCCTTAAGCAAATGGCTCCAACAAAATATGCGGAAGACATGAAATGCTTATAGAGGGGAGGATTTTTTTTTTTAGTTTCATCCGTAGTCTCGTGTCCCACTTGGACCGCGAGACGTCGAGATATAAAAATAACAAACGAAAATGGAATACTGTTCGCATATTTGGGCGGGAGATACCCAGTCCTCACTTTCCAGTTTTGATAATGTTCAAAAGCGTCTCTGAGTCCTCGTTGGAGAAGAATTATTTTCCATACCCCAACCTCACTCTCACAGGCGGGGTGTGGCAAGTCTGTCACTGCTCTATCTCTACTGCCATGAAAAGTGCTCGGACGAACTACATTCCTTGATTCTGCCAGGTCTAACCTTCACGGCTAGAACCCGCCATGCCACTTACATAGTAACAAACCACCCACATTCCCTCTCCTTTTCCTTGACTTCCCCCCCCCCTGTTAAACAGACTCTCAAAAAATGTTTCCCTGATCACTACAATCTTAACCTACTCAGATCTAGTGTTAACCGATATCTTCCCTTCTTATCCATATAAACTACCCCTTAACATAACCCTCTACCTCGAGTGCCCCCGGGCCTTGTACAGGGTGAACCTTACTGTAAAAAAAAAACAAAAAACAAACAAATGCTAACCAAAACGATTGGACTAATATAGGCAAAGCGCTAAATCACACAAGATTTAAAATTAAGATGAAATATAAAATATCAGCAGCAAACTCTATAATGGGAAGAATACTCATGGCGACTGCGGTTTAAGCAGTTCTGTTATATGTTAATGTGGTATTTTGTATATAGTAATGGTATTGTGGTCATATATATGATAATGTAGTATATTGTATATAGTAATGTGGTATATATTTTATATGGTAATGCTGTATATTATACAAGCCAAATTACCCGCGCCTGACTGCGTGTCACCCATTTTTTGTAAGAAAATGATGATTGATCTTAAATCACTGTTATAATTTGTGGAAAAAATGATACATTTCAATATTACTCAATGATCTTGCCGATGTGACTTTCATCTTCTGGCTTTCTCCTTCTATATTTTGGATAGAAGCCATTCCCTTGTTCAAACTTAAATTTAATTTAAATCAAAAAGAAAAAAATTCAGCTGAGGCTTTGTAGCACCCCCCCCCCGACAACCCCACACCCTTTGGTCAAGATAAAATATACTTATCCAAGTACCCTGGATAATGTAGTTTCAGAATATATATGCTTATGGGGGTCTACACCTAGGAAAAATTCGATAACAAACAAACAGACAGACAGAGGCTACAACTATATATATATAGATATGATGATTTGGTATTTTGTAGATCAAAATGGTATTGTGCTTAATATACATAGTAATGTGGTATATTATATAGTAGTGTGGTACATAATGTATACGGTAATGGGATATATATGGTAATGTGGTATATTGTAATATGGGATATTGTAATAGGGGATATTGCAATGTGGTATATCCTTTTGTAGTAAGATAAACAAAACAAAAATATTTATAAGACTCAAACACAAAAACACACGCTTGCATATCTACTTGCAAAATCTGTATTTTTGTTGAAAATATATATTTACATACATAATCTTCAATATTTCTCTGTCCTAATATACATATATCGCAATATCTATTCTAATAAGCATCCCTGGATACAAATCCGATATTTATTGTATATAAAACCCAGATTAATGAGACATTTTACGAAAAAAAGTCGCATGAGTGATGCCCCAGTGGTTTAATACACTACACACACACGTGCACGCACTCACATAGATAGATAGAAAGAAAGAAAGAAAGAAAGAAAGAAAGAAAGAAAGAAAGAAAGAAATTTCTGATTATTAAGACACCCTTTCTGAACATTCAAGTATCACATTCATCCAATGTGATTGTATTATGAATGAGGATCGATGGTTATAAGCAGCCAAATTATCAACTGTATAGACTCCGGGATCAGGTTGATTTACAATGGGCAGTATCCGAAAAACATTCTAGTTAAGCATGCATATTATACGCCGATAAATAAACGCACGCATACTCACGCAAGCACATACCCACACACCCAAACGCACGCACAGGCACACGCACACACACTCACAGATATATATATATATATATATATATATATATATATATATATATATAGGAGGATTCATTAATGGGTGGCACTAGCAGTTTTTAGAGTAAAGCATCTCTTAGTCGGTCACACCAACTCAAATTTATTTACATACAACTAAATCAGAAACTTTCTATTGCATTAGGAATAAACTTGCGGTAAGCCCAGCTTGAAAAGTAAACTCAGTAGTAATTCCAATAGAGAAAACAACCTGAAGGGCGTCAAACGCTGATGCGAGAAATGTAAAAAGCTTTCATACGCCATCGCTCTTAATGTGTGACGCGTGCCAATTCAATACGGTTTTCAAATGGCTAGAATCAATAAATTTATATTCTTCCAGGCGTTATTTTTTGTTTCTTGTCTTAAAAATGTACTTAAATTACTGAATCTATTATTAATACTTGAGTCTAATTTTGGCTTTTTTCCATTTTTAATTCTTTTTAAAACGATTTTCTTCTCAAATGGTTTTTCTGGTTATTGGAAATCTTTATGCAAAGCAAATACAGACATTCGCTCTCGTCTACAAATAAATTTAAATTAAACATCTACACGTAATCTAACATCTATAAATCTGTCATTAATTGACACGGATTGTATATGGGTCATACCACATATAATTTTATTATATATACATTCTTTAGAGCTATTACTCGACATTTAAATATATGTGTGTTTGTGCATATCTGTGTGTATATCCGTGTGTAAAAGGTTGTGATGAGTTGTTTTCGCTTTGTACTGAGCATATGTTTCCTGTTGACTTGAGTTCGATTGATATAGCAACCCAAAAAACTCATTTCTTGAACTGTAACACCTGTGCTCCGCTACTTACTTGAGTCACCAACCAAATCGAATACCCTGGATGTCATTCATCTGCTGACCAACTATACTCAGAATAACTGAAGTGGCAGAATGAGATATCAAAGTAGCGATAAGAGTACTTTTCATTTAACTACACAACAAATTCAGTTAATATATTAAAATTAATGAAAATGTTTCTGAATTTCTTCTTTGATTTCTTGTGGAATTTTTGTGAGTGCTGATGTAATAGTAGCCATGCTCTAGCGAAGGTGACAGTGTTTGTATATGTATCTCATTTTTATATACCATGTCCTTTCAGAACGTAGATGACCGTGGCTCTTTACAAATTCCTGTCTTTTGTTGCTTTAAGTAACTTCTGACCCATTACCATCCCTCATTGTCCGAGACCTGCTACTCATTCACACAAATTCATTGAGTAGTTTCCTCGCTATTTTACCCTGCTTCTCTTGTCCTGTGAATGTTAAATTCTCTAGACCTTCTTTCTTCATTATGCGTCCCAAAAATTTTAACTTTCGCTTTCTGATTGTATGTATAAGTTTCTTTGTAGTTTCTATTTTCCTTAAAACCTCTCGTTTCACGCACATTCTGTCGATGGTATTTCTAGTCGTTGCTGGTATAACCACATCTTTGTCATTTCAAGTATCATCTTCATATAGGAAGAAATTGTTCCGTATTCTCTACCATATATGAGATTAGATATGATATACAAATGCAATGCTCTTTTCTGTGCTTTTGAAAATATTTTCCTGTGTCTTAATACTGTACTTAGTTTTTGGAAATCATCTTTTGCTAATCTGATCGGCCTTCAGATTTCTGTATCGCTGTCTGTTAAGTAAGATGACAGTACCTAGATAATTAAATTTCTGCACCTGCTTCATTTTAACGTACCCTCATAACTTGAACTGTATTTTTTGATGACAATCATATATTGTTTTCTTATAATCCTTAGTTATTCTCTTTTTCTTGCTTGTTTTTACTACTTTATCTAAGAGATCATTCAACTTTCTTTGTGACTGCTATCAGCACAGTGTCATCCGAGTATCTTATCTTGCTATCTATCACTCTTAAAAGAAACGTTATTTCTATTATGTCACACATTTGTAATATCCTAACAAGCATACATCATATGTCTGTTTAAATAATCTAATCAATATTTGTTTAATTTAGATTTACTACTGCCAATGAAGGATGTTTAAAGAAAAAAAGCAACAAAAAAGAAACATTTTTTCATGAAATTCGTATTTTTCATCTTCGTTATTTTCATTACACTTTAATAGCCGATGTATTCTTTCACCTTCTTCAGACCTATACTGCATCCTGTAGACTTTAGATGTTGCAAAGTCATTTGATGAGGTCAAAATAACACAGTATCCGTTCGGAAAAATCTAAAAGGAGCTGTACATCTAAGATTGATAAAAAAAATATGCAGATTTTATTATAATATAAGAACGAGTACTCAGGAGAATTATTTTGTACCGATATAAGGGAGTCAAAATAAAATTTCTCTTGATAGACAAAATTTTCCAGATTCGCGTTAAACTTCAATCGTGATCATAAAACTCTAACACCCTATTCCCGATACTTATTAATCCGTGATTTTCTGAATGAGAAATTAAAAAAATAATCGAATGAATCATACACTTGACAAAGGCTAAATAAAATATAGAATGAAATGTTGTGATAAAACAATGATAATGAAGACAGTCAACTCAATAATGTGTGGATTAATAAAAATAAATACTTAATCTCATAACTTCAGAAAAGAACATAGATAGATAGATAGATAGATAGATAGATAGATAGATAGATAGATAGATAACAAAGATTATATTTCGCCAAAAAGCGGTCGACTAGAGTAATTCAGAAAGATGACGTTTCTTAGACAAGCAGTATTTGTAATCAAGAGATATAATATTACTAATAATTAATAAAATGAATTAAATTTGATCACTTATCTTATGAATGTCTATATGTGAATTTCGCGGGGTTAATATCCATTCTTCAATAGACCTGATGGTGAACTGTATCTATTTTCAGAAATCATATTTTTGCTTAAAATAAATTCAACATGATTTCTGAAAATAAATTCAATTTACCATCAAACCTTATGAAGAGTAAATGTTAATTCCGCGAAACTTAGAGATGATAATAAAATAAATGAACAAATTTAAGTTATATAGCTTGAAGCTGTAATTAAAAAATGAGGGAAATGCCATTTTGCTCGAACATCACCGAACGATTAAGACAAAATTGCGCAATTTCAATGTGATCACTTGATTTATTTTCGCGCCCTTCAAGCAAGTTAACAGCAAACTAGGGAGTTATAATCAAAACAGATCGCAATAGTCAACTATTTTTTGTTTGTTATTTTACCAACGAGTTAGCACAACACCACCTGGAGAAAATCGAAAATTATTGATCGACATGTGGAGAACTTTAAGTTCATAGTCCGAACAGTTATCTAATGAAATTTCTAATGTCTCCTCAAAGAAAGAAAGAAAGAAAGAAAGAAAGAAAGAAAGAAAAAAGAAAAGAAAGGTGGTGCACATAGATGAAAAGTAATAAAATGGAATAAAAAGCGGAAAATTAGTTTTATTAAAACTACTGTTTTACAAATGAGACAAAAGACGTAAGGAAGTAAAAAAAGAGTTATAAGTGACTTGAAATAAAAGAAATGGTAAGAAATCATCTGAATGCAGTTTCTGGAAATTATTATAATGAATACGGAAGGAAGATACTTAGAAATGTCTATAGATAAGAGTGGTCATGGAAGAATAAATCGATGACTGAAATTTATGTAAAGTTTGAAAAATAAAAGCAGAAGATCTAAAGTAGTAAGGAAAAGAAAGAAACAAACAAAGAAAGAAAGAAACAAACAAACAAATAAAAATGACTGGGATATTTAAATAGAAAGAAACAAACAAACAAAAATGAAGGAGATGTTTAAATAGAGAGAAATAAAGAAAGAGAAAAGGAAAGATAGTTAAAAAGAAAGAAACATGCAAAAACAAAACAAACCAAAAGGAAAGGAATGATATTTAAATAGTGTTGTGTATGATACACCTAATTTACATAAGTGGAGTACCGACCATATAAATATGGGTTGGTACCGGAAGACGAGGGAAGATTAAGAGATCGAATCCAGAGACTCTGCCCGACTGCGACTTAGTCAACCCATTCTGCAGGAACAGTCTTCCCAAGAATATACCAAAACTACCTGTAAATATTGTGTACCTTTTTTCATTGTTTCAATACATTTTGTTACGTACATTTTGTGTTGTATTATTATTATTCCATGCTTATTCAAGCTTCAACAAATAGAAATAATGAGGAAAAGGAAGAAATTAAAAGAAAGTATGTTTAAATAGAAAAAAGAAAGAAAGAAAACGGAATCAGAAAAAAAAGAAAAGCTTTAAAGATTAATAAAATGATATCAAGAGACTTGTCATAATTTTAGCTCAACTCTGAATGCACAAATAAGATACGTGTTTATCTTTTTATTTATTTTTCACGTCGAGCGATGGTTATTAAAATCGCCTTCTTTATTTTTCTCTACGTGTGATGGAAAACTTCTTTCGAGAAGACAAAGTCATTACAAGATTAGAAAGATGCTTTGAATAATTATTCGAAAAAGAAAAAGTTTCTGCATAATGGAAATTGAAAGCGAAGTGAACAGTGGAAGATTTTTGAAGAACTTTACGACTGCACGCAAAAAATCGATAAACTGTTTATAGGTCAGGAAAACTATCGATCATGTACTTATTTTGATTCTTCAAACTTTTACTGTAGGTCCAACTTAAAATATAAATTGATATCTATCAAGGGACTTGGTTAGATAAATGATAATCTGTATCCATTTATGCATACACATACGACATCCACAAATATTTTCACTTGATAAACAGAATTGTTTGTTAACAAGAATCTGTGAGCATATGAATAAAAGATTTCTTCCACAACGTAAAATTTTATAATAAGTTCTTGCTAGACAAAACGTGCAAGCAGTTCCTCTATTTATATCTAAGGCGTAAAAGGACATCTACGAGATGATGCTAGAAAGTTCTCGGCCAAACCCAACATCTAATCAAATAACCTTATATCAGAGTTTTAAGACGAAATTATTCTTGATTAGATCAAAAACTTTTCAGCAGTCCTTCTATCTGGTTATCTGTTCATAGCTGTTTATTTATCACCCAAAAATACGAGTCTTTCTCAATCCAATCATTCAGTATATAAGAAGTATCGAATAACTATGTTGATAGATGTGTATCTATCGGCATAGATATGAATCAACATAGATATGAATCTATCAACAGTGACATGAATCAACATAGATATGAATCAACACATCAATTGAATATATAAGATTACACATGTAAGATACGGTTCAATATAGATATGAATCAACATAGATATGAATCTATCAACATAGATATGAATCTATCAACATAGCTATTCGATTATTTCTTTTTTGCTTGTAGTCATCTAAAAGCACACAGAAACACATGCACATACATTTTTACTGTAGGTATTCCTTTACTTTAATAACTGCGAATTGCTATAAATTCTTGAGAATATTTTGTGTAGATGTCTCCCGTTACCTCCTCTGCGGTTTTAAATTCAGAATAATCCTTCTCCTAAACAGGCTGCCACTCAAGGCTAGAGATCCCATTTTATCCTACTACTTAACCCATTGCTGAATGAAGAGGGTATACATCAATGCCTTTCCTAAGGGTACTCGTGTGAAAGTAGACATGACAGACTCTCTTGAAATTTAAACTCAGCTTGATAATTGTAGCGTATATTTCCTACAACACCTTACAACTATCAAACGAAAATGGCACAACAGCGCCAAGTAAATCTCTCAAACCTATGTAAATCTACTCATGGCTTACGACCACATAACGTTGAAACATCGGTTCCCGTGCGATCACGGAAGTTCAGTATCTAGATGAGTAACTGCTTGGGAATATCAGTTACTGTAAGCTTGGGTGTGCGGGTGGTGTAATGGATAATGGACCGGAATTAAAAGAGCCCAGTTCCAATTCCAGTCGGGTTCGTTATATTCACTTACGCGTAAATACCGTTGGGAAAAGGTATGAATCCACCTCTTCTTCCACTCACCCCCCCCAGTAAAAATCATTATTATTTCATTAAACATTCTTACAATCTAACAATATTTTCTGGTTTTAAATAACCGCAAACAATCAACCAGTCAATCAATCAATTAAAAATTTACTCGCGTGTAAATATTATTATACACAAATGTCATAAATACTTTTTAAAAATTGACTTTTGAACAGTCCGTGTAGTCATGTATAAGGTCTTAATCGTGTAATGTGATTCTACAGAAGAATACTGTGGATATCATGGACTGAACATGTGAACAACGACGAGATTTTATCGAAAATGGAAACAAAAAGGAAACATGCTGAAAATCAGAAAGAGACATTTGATATTTCTAGGGCACATAACGAGAAAAGAGGGCTTAGAAAATTTGATGCTCACAGGACAGATTAAAGGCAAGAGGGACAGGAGGTAGCAACGCATAACATACTTGGTGAGCTTGAGTAAATGGATGGCGGAACAAGGTTTAGGAGAAATAACAAAAAACAAAATTTATTAAGAGCTACGAAGGACAGGAAATTGTGGAGAGCCATGATCGCCTACGTCCTGAATGAACACGCCACATAAAGAAGAAGAACACTACACGGCTGGTATTTTGAAAACAAGAATAATACTCATTTAATCAAATACATTCCACTGAGCCTTTAACCTTTATCTAATAGGTTTATATTACGGAGAGAGAGAGGAGGAGACTGTTAAATTTTTCAACGAATTAATAAATGCGCTTTTATTTCGTAGGCTGAGGAAAAATTGAATATGCCGCAGAATAGACACTTTCGAATATCAATTTCGAATATTTCAAATGAATTGATTTGGTGAGCTGCGGGCTTCAGAAAAAAAAATTCGTTAAATGGAATGTTTGTTGTCCTGTGATCACTAATTGATATATTTAATTAATGTTAGCAAGGAATTGATGTTTCAACTGCAGCCTTCGCCATACCAAAGTCCATTTGGGAAAAGCTCCTACTACCAATGCGCCAATTGCTTATTATTATCAATGGGAAATATTTCAAGCCATACTAATGGATTAAAAGCAATAATGACTGTTCTGCTGCTTATTAAGAGAGGTCTACAGTTGTGATCTAAATAAATGTAACAAACCATAAAAAATGTCCTGCAGCTTCCCTTGTAACCAATGATGTAAATTAATCGATATTCCAAATAGTCATTACAAATTTTTCCAGTTAAGGAGTAGAGTAAAAAGGTTATTATAACCGCCAATAATATTGCAGTGAAAAAAGGAGAGAGAGAGAGAGAGAGAAAGACAGAGAGAGAGAAAGACAGAGAGAGAGAGAGAGATCAGAAAAGGTAGCAATGTTAACGTATGAAAAGAACTAGACTTAAAAATATATCGGTTTCTTTATAACCCCTTAAAAAAAAGCCCACCAAATTTGTACAAAATGGATATTCCTTAACTTTCCTAGACAAACTGAAATCAATTTATTTCGGTTCTAACACGTAGCATTTATAGAACAGGGCATTTTTAAATGGATTCCACTTTAAGAAAGCTTAACAAGACAAGTTATATTTGGTCGTAACCAAACTTGCATAAACATTGGAAATCATCGAAAAATTCCTTCAACAAACCATTGGGGCCATAATACGAAAAAAATAATCAGTACCTGTAAGAACAACTCCAAAATTATTTCTACTCTAAATCTGATTTTCTTTATTTTCACATAATTCATACATATAAAGAATCATGTGTTGCTTAGTTTTATGTCAATCACCACTGGGGGTTGAAAGTTATGTTTAAGGTGAATGATGAGAGATACATTTTATATATAAAAGTCTGTAGTTTTAAACTTGATAAATAGATCACTTGAAAGATAGAGATAAAGCCAAATGTTATATCACCTTCAGTTCGTAAACATGGAACGATTGGTGTCATTTATTTGTTACGTCTCACTTATCATATTTAACATGATACTTTGGTCGGTCTGTTCATCGACCATCTTCAAAAGAAATTGTTTATTGCATTTTTTTGCGATCATGTTACCCGGTCGAGCACCTTGTCAAAATATTCGTTGATTTTCGTTACAGCTGATGTAACTTCAATTTTGTAAGTTGTTCTCATTACCAAAGTCAATCCCTTTCGTTGATTTTTAAATGCAAACAAAACGATAATGTTGGCATTAAGCTCTAAAATGATACGTTCATTGGCAAGATTCCAGATTATGGACCCTAACTGGTGCTAAACAAGTTTATATAAGCAAATATAGTTTTAGAACAGCCATTTTTGCATGTATTTTCGAATTTCAGCAAAATCTTCTGCTATTTACTTTGGGCTGATGACCTTACTGGTAAATTGTCTGAAATCATTGTTTAGTGCGACAGATTGTTTAATATTTACCGTTGGTTCAAAAGTCGGTTTTTAAATAATAATAAAATTTCGAATACAGATTTACAATATTGGCAAACACTACTTTCTTGAAAAATTGTAATATCACATTCTACTTACTCTCTTTCTACCCACGAACAATTTGGCCTTGTATCGTGCTTAGTACTTATTATAAATACATATTTATGATAAACTAATTGATATTATTTATGCCTATTGAAGCAGTGCGTATTTCAATTCACGTCGAAAATTTCCACTTTTTAACCTCGTCTCTATTTTAAATATACATTTGTGCGATTAACAAACAATAATGCATTTACGAATGCACACAAAGAGTTAATCAAGCTTTCATTAGGCAACCTCCGGTAGATGGCAGCAGATGCCAACATTGCCAAAACTATTTCTTCCTCGATGAACTATAATAAACATTATTTTTATTTCTATTATAGACAGTAAAGAATTTGTATCGTAGGTGAATACAATATGGTGTTAAGGACATTAGACTAGAAATCAGACAGACAAGAGTCATATTTTTAATAGCTAAAGCTTGTTAGTTACGATTTTTACTAAGCTTAGTATGACACAAATAGAGGGAAATTAGATGAAATGATTATGTTGGGACAATCATCCAAGTAGTAAAATTTTACATATTTAGAAACTCTACATTCTATTTCCTGACTTTTAGCTGAGCTCAAAATACCAACATCTAGCATGAATGGGAAATAATTAACTATTAAAGGAGGCAACAACTCAACAGTGAAATCAAATATACCATTTAACCAACGTCTAATTAAAGAGATGTGTCCTCTGGAGCTTCTTTCCCCACGTTGCAGAGCCCTAAAACTGATATTACACTTTTCGCTTATTAACAGTGGTGGCTAATTCAGAAAAAACAACAGGAATTAAGGCTTTTTATGCTTGCTGAGGTATGATGTCGATAACCACTACACCTCAACCATTGAGTGAATAGTACTATAATCTCGCAACAAAACTCAAACTTATATACTTATTGTGATATCCTATTGTTATCGCTCGTTGTCGCATTCAACAGCCGAAAAGTATCACTGGATGTGACCTAACCAGCTCAAAATATCCCTGTTCACTAAACCTATCTAATGTAGCTATAACCAACCATAAAGAGAAAAGATTTTTTAATATAATATAGCTTCCCACTCGCTAAAATATGTCTCTTAACCTCTGAGGTCGGTTTCATATATTAACGACTGTTAAATTCTTTTACTAATTTTACAAGCATTTATATGTGCATATAGAAAGTAGGAAAATTTCAGAATACACAAACATAAAATATTGTAAATAGTCTCAATTAAAATGCCTCTATTATAGATAATACATTTACTGGGTTAAATTAAAAGATTTTATATGCATTAATCTAAGAAGAATAAACCTAGATTAAATAAGGCACATAAGTCTAATCTAATAAATGAAATATAAAAGCTCAACGCGAACAACGGCAACAAGTGATGTACTAAAATAGAAACCAGCTGGAAGCACATTTTAGCTGTCCTTCATGTTTAGAAATATCCCAGGAAACGATTGGACTAAGAAGGTATGAGAAACGCCAATATTCACCGCTCTGTTTCTCTAGATTTCTAAAATAGCCAATGTTGACGATTCTATTTCTATTACGGGAACCTAAAGTGATTCAGTTGATATCCAGGTTGAAAATAGTATCAGTGAATGCAAATTATCATTCCTTCTGATATTTAACTCATGCTAATGCATTGATAACATAATTGATTAACATAAATACACTTCTTCATCTCTCAAATCAGCTATCTGGACGCAAGGAGTATACACTGACAAACTGTTTTATGCAAAATTCTTTTCTCCTTTATGCGCCGTGACTCTACAATACACAGGTGATAATGGCTCTTACCAACTTCCTATCCTTTATATCTCTAAAAATGTTTGTTCCTTTACTATCCATCCCAATCCCTGTTCTGTCACCCATTTATACAAGCCCATTCCCTTCTACCCTCTTGCCTTCAATATCTCACTCTTTTCCTCCAAACCCTCTTTCCAAATTGAGTCTCTGGGATTTCTACTGTCTCTTTCTGACTCTAAATACAAGTTCCATTTTTTGTTTCTATTTTCCTAAAAACTTTCTCGTTACTTCCATTTCCATCCATGATATTCTCAACGTTCTTTTATAAATTCACATTTCTGTTGTCTCAAGTTTCCATTTCATGTCAGGAAATTGTCCAGCATTCACTATCATACAGGAAGATTGACATGACAAAGCAATTCAGGACTCTTTTATTTGTTTATTACAAAATTTCTTGTTACTTAATACTTTTTTATTTTTTATTCTATATGCTTTTCGGATTTCTGTGTCACATTTTCCGTCATGTATTAATACACTTCCCATAAGGTTCAATTTCTTTACTTGCTTGATTTTGACGCCTCCAATTCGTAGCTCACATCTTAGAGTGTCCCTCTTGCTAAGGTGTCAAGATAAATGCAGAGAAATACTATAAGTTCTTAAGCAAGAAGTATTTTAAAGTGAAACAAATCACAACCAAAATACTAAACTGTATATTCATCCATGACATTTCCCCTGTAAAACGTTGACTATTGCCCGCCTTTCAAAAAAGGCTTCAAAGACATCAAATTAATGCAATGTCTCTCCAATTATTAAACCGGTAGAAGAAGAAACAAAAAAGGTGTGGTCCATCATTATAAGAGATGTATTTGAAAAAGGAAAATCAATATTCAAGGAAAGAAAAACTGGGAAATTATAGAATAGTTTAACATATCAACAAATGAGTGATGAATGTTATAGAATATTAAGGTGGCCATTTTCACGTTTCAAATAATTTATTCAAGTACGCGGGATGTTGTGTTAAAATCTATGTTTCTATGCTCTTGTATTTATTTATAATTAAAATTTATTTTATTTTTTTACATATAGCAAAAACAAGTTATTACAAATTTTGTGAATAAGGATAAATATTATAAGTTGAAAGAAACACACTCAATATATTACTCAGATAAACATAAGTATGAACATTGTATGAACATAAGGACATTTTACAAAAAATTGTATTGAATTCCAGATAGATAGATAGATAGATAGATAGATAGATAATCCTGTGTAAAATATAACTATTAAAATTTGCAAGCGACACACACAAATTTCGCCATTAAGCTCGTCAGGCGAAGCAAGTCAGCATGAATTATTTTTTCCGAATCCGGGACACCACACCAGCTATTTGACCCATTGGGAATTTGCATACACTACCACAGATGCATATATACTACTAGAGTACATACGCCTATACGAGTGTACATCTTTATCCAGAATCGTAACGGGCTAACAAATTTACCTGCATTTCACTATGATTTCCATTCAATAATACATTTCGGTCACCAAATAAAGCAATAGTCAACTTTACTTTATAACAAGCTATGTAAAATCTAGCTCTTTTCTTAAATAGCTATGTTTTTTTTTTTAACTTTTCATTGGCAGCTAATCTCTCCTCCGATTTAGCTCCAACAACACAGTTGGGTGGGGAAAATGGTTGGTTGCGTTCAATGCCTCGGAAACCAAATGAGTTACATTCAATCATCAACGATCTGACCTTGAACAGACAGCTGTCATGTGAATAAATGTTCCCTAATGGATGCCCCGTGACTTGAGCGACTATTTTACCTCATACTCAACCGCGATCTCAAGTGGAACTCGTACATACGAATCATAGTTAAAGATGTAGTATAACTGATCGGTTCCCTGTACTGCTCCAGCAAGTACCTGACTGCTCATGATATTCTCTACCTTTACAAGAGACAGATCATGCTTAAAATAGAGTACTTTTGACATATTTAGGCAGGAGCTGTCCAATTCATATTTTTTAGTGTCTCCGCTTTCTTGCAGATGATAAATTATTTCCCACCCTGCAACCCCTATCTCATAGTTAAAACATATGAAGCCTGCCACTGCATCGTTACTTCCATGGAAAATGCTCAGACAAATTTCATTTCTTAGTTTTACCAGTTCTAACCTTCACGGCTAGGACCCGTAGCAAACCACATTCATATCCGTATTCCATTGGTGAGAAGTGATTTCCACTTTAGCAGCTTCTTTACGGGAACCACTGCTATGTGGAATCGACTCCGAAGAAGATGCTTTCCTCATCACTACAATCTGAGCCTGTTCAAGTTTAGGATTAACCGTTATCTTCCCCGCTTAAACTGTGTCCCTTATTCTGTAACCATCTACCTCAAGTGGCTCCTGGATCTTGTACAGGGTGAACCTCACTGTAAAAAAAACGAATGGCGATGTGTTTTTTGTTTTTTTGTTTTTTTTTCATTTTATGTCTCATCTGTATTTTACTAAGGAGGTACTATTTTTATAGTTTAAAACAATTAAAGATGGCGTTGACATAGGAATATCAACTGCATGAAGATCACATTGAGGTGTGCAACTGACTGTTACCATGCAGTGATGATTCCTATATCAACACTGTCTATATCATTAAACATTCTATCTTCGATATTAAGCCTCTTCCCCTATAATTAGCCAATTTTAAACTATACATATATATATATATATATATATATATATATATATATATATATATATATATTCATGCTGATTCATGCTAAATACAATCGGTGGCCTGACGATTACTCTAGGTGTTGACTTCCATGTCCACTTTTATATTTACATACACTCTGTCCTTGATGTAGTTTAACCCATAAATATAGCATAAATTAAAACAATATTTTATCACACACACATACATATATATACTCTATGAAATAGATTAAGTCCGACAATTAATTAACATATTTTCTTTTTATACGTTATTTTAATAGATACAATTTATTTAAGTAAATGCTCTGTTTTTTAATTAAACAGTATTAATTACATTTACTGTCCTGAATGTTCGAGAAAATTCGTAGAAAATATGCGTTCTCCAACAGGAATCGAACCTGTGTCCTATATGGAACAGTCATTTGATCTGACGTGTTATACCACTTAGCTGTAGAGAAGCGTCTGGTTAACAATGTCCAAATAAATGTTTTTAAACAACAAATCTTCGACGATATATTTCCTGAGCAGATATGATCGTTTCGGAAATGATCGTCGAATATTTATTGTTTAAAAACATCAATTTGGACTTTGCTAACCAGATACATCTCTACAGCTAAGTGGTATAGCACGTCGAATCAAATGACGGTTTCGTATAGAACACAGGTTCAATCAACTTCTCAAAAGTCTAACCAAAAGACTAAATATCAGAATTTTTTAAATCCCTTCTATATATCCAAGTTTTCTCTTCGTGTAAGGAAGTAGTATGATTGCCCCTATGCCTGGCGCGTAGCTTACATCACCCGGTATTCCGCAGCGGTTACCCATCTGCGTATCTACCAGTCTTAACGTTGTTTAACTTCGGTGATTGGACGTGAACCGGTGTTTCAACTTGATATAACTGTAATTAATAATACATAATAATAAGGATAAGTAAAGTAGCATTTGCGGTAATGGTGTAAGTAATAATGGAAATTAAGAAGTACAAAAATTAAAGATCCCACAAAAAAAGGATTAATAAGTGATAAAGTTGTTTATTATTAACGCAAATTCTAATAAATATTAAACGTTTTAAAAAGTGAATATGACTTTGCGATACGTTTTATCACGTGACTGGCAAGTCTGGAACAGATTTCTCTTTACAGTCTATTTTCTTTTCTCCTCTTTTTTTTTTCCCCCTCTTCTTACCGATCTTTCTTTAGGTTTGATCTTTTTTTTATCTTTTCTCTTCTTCTTTTTCCTTATCATTTTTAGTGATGATCTTTTCCTTTCTTTTCCCTTATTTTTCCTCTTATTTTCTCTTCTCTCCGATTTTTCTTTACAGCCAATCTTTTCATTTCTTCTTTCCCTTCTTCCCGATATTTTTTTTCTTTTAGAACCGATCTCTTCTATTCTTTTCCTTCTTTTTTTCTTTATTTCCATCTTTTTTTTTTTAGAGTTGCTATTCTTTTTCCTTCTCTAAACATCTATTTTCAGAGAACCTCACCGTAAAGTATTAGTTAACAAGATCAGACCATTTTTATATGCTATGTTCTTTCAGTAATTTGGCGATCATAGCTCTGCATAAATTCCTATCTTTTGCTGTTTCAAGTAAATTTTGACCATTTACCACCTTTCTATGCCTTTTTTTCCCATCCGTTCACTCATTATATAGGTTAATCGCTGTTACCCCTTCTTTTCTTGATGCCATTATGTCTTGTGATTGCTAAATTCTCCAGGCCCTCTTCTCCTGTTATTTATCCCAGAAATGTCAACTGATTTTAAATATAACTTTCCTTTCAGTTCCTATTTTCCATAAAACATCCTCGATTTCCACATGTCCCGTTCATGATATTCTTAGCATTCTTTGGTAAAGCCACGTCTATATTGCTTCAAGTCTCTTCTTCATCTGTGAATAGATTGTCCAACATTCACTGCCATAGAAGAGATTAGATATTACATAACAGTTCAGCTGTTTTCTTTGCTTGGTTTCTGCAAGGCACCTTTTGCTATTTCTATGCATTTGGGGTTTTTGTTTCACATTTTCCGTCATACTACTCAGTTAAATTTCTGTACCTGCTTGATTTTGACATTTATAAATTAAGCTTATGGTATTCATCGCGAGCTATAATTACTTACAACGCATCGTGTGCAATTTAAATTTCCATATTAAAAATAGCGACTTAATTTTGCATAGAAAACCTTTCATATGCCCTGGTAAAGAAAAAAAAAAGTAAATTGAAATCATAAATGCAATTCATTCTATCAATAATCTCTCTCACGTATATTTCAAAGAACTGCATAAATATTTGGCAACACTTTTATTCTTGAAATTCATTGTTATTGATTCTCGGTGACAGAGAATAGTTTTATGGAATACGATTTGCACTTTATGAGCAAAAAAAATCTATCCCCTGAAATATAACTGGCAAATTGCTGGAGACGTGATTGATTACAAATATATCACGAATTTATTTGTTGACGTTAAGTTTTCAGTCGTCGTAAATATAAGAAGTCTTTGATTTTCTTCAACTCAAAATAACATTTACTAATTTACAAAAAAAAAATGTGAATATAACGTTGATTTCTTCGCCGCAAAGACATATTTGAAACGAATGAGTTCAATTCATCCGCCGCCTTTACCGACGCATTAACTCTACTTGGGTACAAAAGCCGACTATGTGTCGTAGCTATTTTCTAATACTGAAATGAACGGCTAGCTTTTTATCGATGGCTTCAGAAATGACGGCAAGATGGTAGGAGAAACGGACAAAATCGATAAGAGCAAAGAATTAGCATAAGTGCATCTGCATGAGTTTACTAATTCGGACTTGTTACTAATTTTGATCATAGACCCCACCGGAAGGAGGCTAGCTGTAAATACATTGGAGATTGGTTTACCGTAATATGTCCGACCTGGTCCGGTTAAGAGTACAGGATTATGAGGACCAGGGAAGGTTAACAACCTTGAGAGTCTGCGTGAGGTTTAATAATAGCTACTTGAGTGTAAAAAAAAAGGGGAAATATAAGGAATAAGGGGTAGAAAAAGAAGGAGAATGAAAGGTGAAGAATTAAAGGAAAAACTTTTAAAAAATAGGACGAATAAGAAAAATATTAGTGCAAAGGAGTAAAGTCTTTAAAATGAGAAAAGAATTAAAATGCTGCTCCATCCTGATTCTTTTGGAGAGGTAAATGATAAATGAAGATAAAAATGTCTGCTATCATGGCGAACGACAAGGAAAAGGTATAAGCAAGATTAGAGGAATAAGAAAAGATAAATGGAATGTGAAGACAAATAAAAAACGATAAAATGTAACTGGGAGAAAAGGCGATAAAATTAATTTCTCAATGACTGTAAAATAATAAGTGTATTCATTATAGAAAGATAAATTCGTGAATAATTACTACAAGTGCTGCTTCAAAATTATTATAACGGCGAGAAATATTAAAGAATGTTTTTTCATCTATAGCAAACTATAAAAGTCAGAAAAAAATCTCGTACACGATATCACTGATAAAAAAGGAATCAGCTATTAATTAACATTTAGAATTGGATGATACTTGAATAAAAGCATTTGGAAAAATCAAATATGCAAAAACTGAGCTAAATATTTGAACCAGGATCAAACTAACGACTGAGCTCAATTTAAAATTTTTTCTGACCAGGTATCAAAATGCTTATGAGTTGATGATGTACATAAATATCGATCATTTGGGTATAATGCTTTTTTTTTAACTCTTTTTCGATGCTTATATATGTGTATTATAAATTGCCATG